ACTAAACTTTACACATTATATAGGCTACACTAACGTGACGTTGAGATGGTTCGTTTAACTATTATACGTGATATACGTTTTTTGGGGAGTGGTTAATGAAAGTGTTCCAAAACGCGACATTAATTTCTTGACGACCTAATATTTCCAATCTCATTTTTTGTCTCAGCTTTAACGGTGTTCTTTTGAAGCCAATACATAATAATGTCGTACATTATTATGTAGATCAAATATATTATGCTGATCGGGCTAGGATACCATTCTGTGGTTATCACAGCTCTCTCTACTGTTCGTTTCTCTGTCTGTTTATTCCTTTAATTTCCTTCCATTGAATTACCACATCTACATTCAATAATAAAGTTTGCAGCCTAAATGAAATTATGGCATTAGTGCCCTCTAGTGGTGGAATTATTTAATAATAAAGTTTGCAGCCTAAATGAAGTTATTCAAATGCTCATTAGTGCCCTCTAGTGGTTGAATCTATAAAATGATGCCTGCGAGAATGAAATATTTTCACACGTTAATGCGTACCCTTTGGCCATGCATATGCTCTATCGTACTTAGGTTTTAAGTCGTTATTTAAGCCTTTTTTATACCACTTCGAAATATAATGATTGTAAAATATATTAAATATGAACTTCAAACGCACACGCTGTTAACAATATTGTCGTATTCCAGGAAATGAGTTAAGACTTAGACAATAGATGGCATGCTAATGCTATTACTTAGCCCACTGTGCATCCACATGGTAACTGACGATTCCTTTATTATACTGATAACAAAATGAAACACCTGCTTAGTTTAAAAAATACAAAAAACGGGTGGTTCAGCGTCAAGTCTTCGGGTTTACGACGCTAATAATCGGGTTTCGATACTCGTGGAGGGCAGATCACAAATAGCTCATTGTGTAGCTTATCAACAAAGAAACCGAGCCAAATAGTTAAAATCCTTCATCTTACTTCGAACTCTAGTAGAAAAAAAAGATATTTCGAGGTTCCAAATATTATATACGGTTCATTGTAACAAGCGAAACATATAAGTATCGTATAGAGCATAAAAAATAACATTCAACAAATTATCACAACGGGTGATCCTTACACTGATTGATTAAAGCTAAGCCTAGAGCTTAGACGAGCGCTCTTCAAATAAGGTTAAGGCTTTATTTGTTTGTTTTATAGCAAAGCTACATTAGGCTATTTGTTGTATCCACCACGGGGAATCTAACCCCGGATTTTACAGGGCAAGTATTTCTCCACCTAGATCATTCACACATTTTCATTTTTTTAGGTTTTATTTATTTAAGTTTTTTATCATTTTAAAAAAAGATATCACTTTAATTAGGTTCTTATAAGTTAAAAATGCTCCATCTAGTGGCTCTATGGTAAGTTATAAAACTAGAAATCGGGTTTTGATATCTGTGGTGGGGACACAAAAAATAGCCTATTATGCAGTTTTTTACTTAACAACCAACAAACAAAGCAATATAAGTTTAAAAAATGTTCATCACGTCTGAAATAAAAAAGAGCGAGAAAACTGATAAGTAAATATAATGAAGTCAATAAACTATTTTGGATGGATATCAAGAAGATCCTGTCGGACAACTGGGATATATTCTCTGTCCATAAGAAGACAAGTAGTTTAAAGATGTGTGGAATGAAAAATGCTTGGAATTACAAAAGCTAATAGGAAAGGAAATGACTGAATCAAGAAGATATAAAAACAGAATATAAAAAAAAAAATGTTAAAGATGAACAGGTCAGCTAGACGGGTAGAAGGCAACAAAGGAGTGGCAGAATGGCGGGAAAAAAAAGAAGATAATGTAAACAAGATGAGTCAGACACAGGGGCATTCAAAGGGGGGTTAAGTAAGGTAACATTTTTTATCTATGTCAAAGCTACTAGGGCTATCTGCCGCCATTTTGATCTACGGATACTCTACTACTCATCGTCCATGTTAAGGAATTGATTGTCACTCTTATAACACAAACATAGCTTAAAGGGCCGGAAATATTTTATGGTATCGCACGGATTCGAACGCGGGTCGTCATCTTCGAAATCTAAGCTCTACCACAAGGACAACTTACGCCCTAATGAAAGATAACGACTAATAGCCAATAAGTTTAATACAGCTGCAGTATCATTATTGCCTATTGCTAGGTTTAAAATATCAATTT